GTTCTAAACATGAAAAAGTGGAACAGAGTGATAATATAAATGAAATGATTGATCTCCATCAGATATTAAGTTCTATACTTAATAATCGCCAGATCAAATAGAGGCCAAAACTGCACTAGTTCATAAATTAAAACAAACTAAACTAAAAGTGTTCAAGTTAATACACATCCAAATCTAATGACATTAGATCTTTATGTGACTATTAACCATGATTAGGGCTTTAAGTTAAAGGAATGAACCGACGAGATTCTCTTTAGTTGACTATGATGTTCTCACAATCATGAAGGTACTTAGTGAGTATTTACAATGTGATCTTATGTGACTTGGGATCTATACTCGAGGTAAATTCACCTTTAGTTCACAAGAAACTTCAACAGAATGATCAATGATTGAATACAACACTGAGGTCACTAATGAATTTATTTTAGTTACATAGTTTGACTTTGCAATTTAATTAACTACAGTATACTCTAATCTTATTATCAAATCCACTTAGATTTATTACTTAGTACTCTTCCAAGCTAGTACTTTATTATTTTTTAGAGCACGAAGTGTGACTACTAAACATAAACGGCTTTACTAGTAAGGAACTCACCATCAATGTGACTCTTTCATTGATTTCTTCCATACTATCAAGCTTATCTCTTTTGTCCTTTTAAGATTCTAAAGAATATTCTTGATTCTTTATTCGTTGATTATACACAACATGATCTTATACGACTTGTCGTACATGAGTCATTATTTTTGCTAGCATGCACTCTTTAAGAGTTCTGCATTCAAGTTTCGTTAAGATTCTAAGTATTTGGCTTAAATCATTGATTCAGTTAGATCTATCTCCAGAGAATTTAAGTATACTTTCTTGTTCCTCCCATGTGCTTCATAGCGAGAAAGTTCCTAAGCTATGTAAAGATTTTACACTTAGCAAAGTTAGGACACCGTTTCCTATTTCAATACATGGGAAAACATTGCTCCAGCTAGCTTCGACATTTATATGGACTATTTTTTTGTTTCTCGTAATTCAACTTTTGAATTTCTCATCAAAGCAAATGATCCAACCATGAGATGCTTGTTAGAATCCATCACTGAACTTCTCAAGCCTACATATCTTTCACAAGAATCTTGGTTAGACTATATGTATGTTTCTTTCCATGTTTGTCATCTTTTGAAGATCTAAAAACACTATATGGTTTCAACACTGAGTGCTGGATCAATTCAATTTTCTAACACATACTAGATCTCATTCCTCATAGCTTCCTCTGGCTTATTGGGCCTTACATAGCTTCTGATAGTTGGTAGACTTTAATCGTAATCTATCTATAACTCACTTCCATGTTACTTAGAGCCAACAAGGTCCATGACATCTTCTATTAGATCTATGTGGAAGAGGCAAAAGGATGTCATTTTCCTTAATTGGTTTTAACCTCTAATTAAGTGTTGGGGTGTTTCTTTAGGCTCTTCATTAATTGATTCTTGAGTCCTATCAAGATCAACATGGCTCCCACTAGTTCTTTTGGATATCAACTCTCTCTTTCGAAATACTATCCTTATAGCAACAAATACTTTGTTCTCAGAGGGTTTTTGTAACAAAATAGTTGGGACGTCCAATGAAATAATCTATTCCACAGAGTGTTTGATAAAACTTTCTTAGGTTGTACATGACCAAAGACTCTTGTAATACTTATTCATGGTATAATCCATGAATTGTTTATATACACAATATGGCACATCAATGACAAATCAAACAATGATATATTTCTCTATCCAACTATATTGCATATGGAAATACTTTGGTTTCAGATGAATTGTGAAAGATTTTCATAATTCCATTAGATAATCGTTACACTTATGATCAAGATTCTTACTATCCTATTAATAATGAGTTTCTTATCATTTTTCTCAATTGATTATGAACTTTGTTTTGTGATCAATCTTGAATGGAAAATTAGCATGAAATAATTCCAAAAATTGATAGCGTCACAAAGTGATGTCTAAGATCATTTAGATTCTATAAGATGGAAATCAAGATTCGATTACGTAAAGAAAATGAAAATGAGAATGTAAATAAGATCTAATATTTCATTTAGAGAGTAAAGGTTTTGCTATTACAAAGACGTAAGACACCTTTAAAACATACCCTATACATACAACTAAACATCCCTTATACAATGCATACAAAGGAGTTAGTTATGCCCTGACTAATAAGATCAGGACACCTAGGCTAACACAACTATCAAAAGAAGCTAACACAAAACCATAAACCCTAAGTTTACAAAAAAAAACACGAATGCAAACTATCAGTTCACATCTACAAGTGAAGACATATGAAATAAGACTACGCACACCCTTTCGATTAAGAACTCAAACACAATATATGAAATTGCAAAATCCAAAAATCTATCCCTTTATGTTGAGTTGCGGAAGCAGTCTTCACTTGACTTCATCAAAAAAATTCATGGATAACACCAAGAATAACTATGTAAATTCTCAACCACCATCTAAGCATATCAGAGACACATTTGATATTTTCTTTAGAATTCATCTTGCACTTCTCAGCTCTAGTAAGAATTCCATTGAGTGTATCCGAGCTATAACAATGTTTATCTTAGAGAAACAACCATTTTGTTCTGAACTCTTTTATCTTCATGAACTTTATAAACTATTCCCCATGGTTCTTTTTGGATAAAACTATCTCAAATCTCATTAATGTCACTTGGTTGAGCATAAGGTTTTAAACTTGTGTTTTTATGCAAGGCCCTAGGAACTTCAACATCTATCTTACATAACTTCATGCAATAAGATTTGATCATTCGCTTCAAGTGTTGGAGTTGAGATCTAAACTTAGACTCGTGCTTCTTTAGCATTCTGAATAACATGATCCAGTCATTGGGATTCATAATGGGAAGATCAGAAAAAGTAAAAAGTGATTATTTGTTGTGTGTGCCTCTCAGAACAGTGAATTTGAAGTTCGTGTATTCTCCTAACCTTATTTCCCCAACCTTCTTCACAACACTAATCTTATTTAACGTCCATACTTCATACTGCGGATTTGAATAAGTTATGTAGAACGTAAAGAGCTTCTTGTTCGCAACACTGTTGGATAGAGCAATCCTAACAGTCTTTGAAAAACACCTAAAGAGAAATGCCATTGATGTCATTAGGAAATCCAGATGACAATCACTTGTGGTTTGTACCAAAAATGACGATTAACGTTTAACCAAATATTTTTCAACTTTCTTTATGGATTCGTTTTGAATTCATTCAATGGTCCATTATGGCCACAAAGCTTTTACAATAGCTTCTGTTTCTTCTTTCTCTCTTTTCTCTACATCTTGACGATCTAACTCAATCTGCAACTACCTCATTCTTTCTAGTTCCTCATCTTTCTTTAATTGTTCTTATTTTTTTAGCTTCAACATCATTATGATCAACTTCCTTGAAAGAAACATTTTTTTACTGAACTTGTTCCCACATCTGAACTAGTTCCCACATCTGTTTCCAAGTTAATTGGAATATCAGGAGCAATATCATCCAATCTCTTTTGAGTGATCTATCAGCAATGATAACTTTTGGAGCATCATGCTTCTTGACCGTAGGAAGAACAACATATGGATTTGTAAGCTTAATTTGAGGAGCATCTTCATTAACAAATTCCTATCCCTCTTGTTGAGAAGTAGCCCCACTACTCGTAACACCCTTTAAAGCATTCGACTGCAAATAGATTGGATTGAGTTTAGCATCCAACATTTGAGACATATAATGGACATGAGGAGCATATTTTTTTCCACAATGTGAATAAGTCTTTGATTTACCTCAAAATTCCTCCTTTTTACAAGAAACAATTCTTCATCTTGATTTTCAAAATTCTTCTTAACTTGTCTTAATTCCCCTTTAAGAGACCAAATTTTGTTTGCTTTTTCAGCAAGAAGATCAACAATTTTTGCTTCCGTATCATAATATCCCATAAGTGTGTTGAGATCATTATTAACTTCTTGATTATAAGTTGAATTCTCAAATATGATACAAGCTTTGAGAGTCTGCACTTCCGTAATAACAATATCAACTTTAGATAAAAGCTTTATTTGCTGTGCAAAGAACTGTTTGAAGTTTTGTAGTGGAACCAGAAATTAGTTTATCCTGAGCATCAAACAAACTTTCGCTCTCTAATAAAATAGTCTTCATAGATGTTTCATGTATTAACATCAAATTTTGAAAGTTTGTAGGAGAAAAAGAATCAGCCCTGAGAACAAGAACATTTAATTTTGTATGCAATAGTTGACTTTCCTTCTTATTTATTGGAGCAGCAGTTGAGATTTAATCCAAATCACTTTCATCATCTAAAATAGAAGCAGATAAAACTGGTTCAACAAATGTAGACCTAGTAATTTCTACATCATCATCATCTTGAACTTCAAAATCTTCATCATTATCACATGTCTGATAGACTTCATTTTGAAGCGGAGTGGTACGAATCGGTTCAGAAACACAAACATTTGTGGATAGAGGTTGAACACTTGAGGTTTGTTGATAAGTTGTGGTTGGAGAAGTTGTGGAATCTATAAAAATTGGTGATATTTGAGGTGGAGTACTAGATTTAGTGAAAACTAGAGTTGAAATGGGAATTGTAGTGTGTGTAGATGACACTAGTGGAATAGGAATCTGAACAGAAGTGGTTTGAGGTTGAGAAGAAGTGTGTAATGGGGATAGAAGTGGAACCGAAGGTGATTGATTTTGGGAAAGATTCAGAATTTTCTTATTCATGATATTTAGAAAAATATCATTCTCAGACTGAACATGTATCGTAGTAGAAGTGTTCGGAATAGATACATTTACAACCTACGAAGACTTAGCATTAACCGTCTTAGTTTGTACACTAGAATTTGAGTGTGGCTCCACGTGTATATGATTTAATGATCTCGTAGTTTCATCATCATTGACATCATCCAAACATCACTTATAGTGTTCTCATATTCATCAACTACAAAAACCATTTTCTTTTTCTTCTATTTATTTGAAGCCTTTAATTTCGCAAGAACATCATCACCAGTTTCCTTAGCTTTTTTCTTTCCACCAGCTCTTCTGTGAACATTCTTGGCTTCCAAAGAAACTTGCATAGATGGTGACATACATCTTTCACCACGCTTTGGAATTTCTCTGTAAACAATGAGTTCATTATTCTGAGGAACTTTGACTAGCATCACATCAGAAATCGATCCAACATAGTGAAAGTTCTTTAGATATGATGTAACAAAAGTAACAATATTCATCATTTGGAACCTTGTGATCTGCACATTTTCTATTTGGGGGACGTTGAAAAGGTCACATGCATTCTTCACTACGATTGACCAAAATTGGGCACAAGAAATATCTGAATCCTTTATAGAAGAAGAGGGACTATGTGTGAACTAAACCCAAAGAATTTAACCTAAGCCAACCTTCTCATTTGTAAACAAGGTGTATAACATAGTATGAAATAATTTGTCAGCATTATCGGATCCAGTAACCCTCTCTGGGAAGCATCGAAATAAGATTATTTATAGAGCATTCAACATTGGCGGTAGAAAAGACTTCTTGAGCTTTGATAACATGTGAAATTGTCTTTTGAACCCATGTGATGATAAACCTTGAGCATAATTGAATAAGAAACCAGTTTCGGCTTTGTATAAGAATCACCAGTCTTCAAACCTAAAAATATGTAGAATGCTTGTTTGTTAATCGCAATCTTATGCCCTTGAACATCAAAATCCATCATATCTTTCTTCTATTTGTAGCTTGCAAAAGAACAAAATTAGGACAGAAAGAGCGGCATCTTCATAATGAGTTAACACCTTCTTTAGAATCGAATGATTCAGACACTTAACTATGCGTTGAACATCGACTGACTACTTGGATGCATCAAGATCAACAAACATATTTTGATTTTGGTTGATAGTAAGATGAACTGACGAAGTGGATTGATTAATAAAACAGATATGATCAGTATAAGACTCTATTTTTGATCGAAGGAAGTAAAACATATAGAGAATGAGAAAAATGAAGAGATATTTCTTGTAGTGCTCTTTGAATCGTTTGAAATTGTAAAAAGATTAAATGCATGTATTTTGGGTATTTATACGCAGTAGAATAGCAATCGTCAAGTTTAAATTTGAAAAGTTTGGGTTTCTAGGAGAGATAAACTACCATGGACATGTCATAATTACCCATCCAATCCCATGCTAGTCTTGAGTACTACGCCCATGATCACATCATGGTGGTCCAATAAGAACTTTCAAGCTCATCATTCTTCAATGGAAAGATAACAATAGTCTTCCATTATGTTTGCATAAACATCTTTGTAGAATAATCACCAAAGATTAGTTCACATCATAGAAACATGCCATTTCGGTTTGAAGCAGTTTCGTAAGAACTAAATCCACCCTTCAATATTACATATATTAAAACAGTATTCATTGGAATTATGGCCAGTGTTTCATTCATAAGATGCCAAATCGTAACCAGAACCATGCAAATAAGAGTTTCATCAAATCATGGGAAGAATGATTAGAATCATAAACCAGAATTTGTGAAATCTTGGTTCAAATTGGTTTGACTTAAGACCTCAAGGATTCCAAGTGAAATTGTGTGAAATGTGTGAGAGAAGTTTTTTAGAAGGAAGTATGTGTTGATAGAACCTCAGATACACCATGGTAAAAATAATATATAATCATAAGTCCAGTCTTTGCGAAGTCGTGGTTCAAGTTGTTATATAACTGAAACCTTATAGACCCCGAGTGATGTGTGTGATTTGCTAGAGAATTGAGATTTTGGAAAATAGGTAAGGTTGGTGATGCATCATGTTACCCAAGGTGAAAGTAGGACACTCATCACACAAACTTTTATAACACCATATGTTTCAAGTTGGTATAGACCCGAAGCCTCAAATGTATTATTCGAAATGTGTGTAACATATGGACGAAAGAAGTGGATGTAGTGAAGTTGGTACATTGAAACATATATAGGTTATGTCATCAATTCGTAGTTCTATGCTATAATTTGTAAGCAAATTCACCATGAATTCATTATTGGTTTAAAAAATAAAACCTAAGTTCAAGTTTGTGTATACTCGAGACGTCATTGGTTTCAAGATTGGTTACGGAGAGCCATAATACCTCTGCTATAAAATAGTGACCCAATAGTCATCTCTAAACTCCGAGCATGAGTAGAGAAAGGTAGCTCAATGATTTATGCTAATACAGCCTATTGGGAAGAAATTCTTAGAATTAAGAAATTTGATTAAGGCTTCTGTAACGCTCGTAAGTTAGGGCTATACGATCATATATATATATATATATATATATATATATATATATATATATATATATATTATATATATATATATATATATGCGTGCATGTTTTATAAGAAAATATTATGGGCTTATAATATTTGTATTCAACTGTATCCTAAATTTAAAAAATTACAATAAATACGCGTCTAAAGATAAAAGTCTATTTAGGATAGATAGTCTTAATGAAACTTGTAGTGGTTATGATGACAATTATGTGGGTATAAAGAATGCTCAAATCTGACTTCATATGAAGAAGTTATGATTATTCAAAGTTTTGTATTCAGCCCTATACGACAAAGTGCGTCGTAAAATATGAATCTGTGATAGGTTGATTATTAGCCTAAGTAATCTAAACAAAAGTCATAGTAATCGTAAAATCGAAAGCGTACATATAAAAACGCCTAAATTCGAATTCGTATGAGAGAATTATGATTTTTTCGAAGTTTCGTTACAGGAGCGTGCGACAAAAAAATCGAAATTTAAATTAGTTGAGTGTTAGCCAGAATAATATAAACAAGAGTTGAAGATCTCGTCAATACGAATCTGTTGATATCAAGACGGTCGAGAATGGAGTTCGTATGAAGGAGTTATGATTTTCGCACGGACTATAAGAGTGTAATATTTAATGGGTATTAAATTTAAAATGGAGTGAGAATTAGTCGATGAACTCTAAATGAACGTTATCGTACTCAGAAATACCTATGTCTGGATATAAAGAATGTTAAAAATAGAGCTATATCAAAGATATATGATTTTTATAAAATCGAGAAATAATGTCCGACATTGCGACCATCTCCAGTATCTTCGCGCCATGTGTCATGTTTCCGGAGGAGGACCTTGCCGTCCAAGCCCGGGCGCAGTGCACCTCACTCAAAATTCCTATATATAGCAGCCATGAGCACTTCCATTCTTACAATTCAATTCTCTTCTCTCTGAAAAAAATCTTAGTGTCACATATGGTAGTGCACGCTATCACTATAACTTCAATCGAGATTGTATCGATAGCTCAAAAGTTTACAAACTTTATTACTTACAAGTTATATGCTCTAACTCTACGTTTATTTATTTTAGCATCAATATTCAACATCAATTTCAACATCGAAAAGGTCTTTAGGAATGCCTCTATTTGAATGTTATCTTCACAACAACAAGTTCTACTCATCCACCTTTGATCGCACTCCATTAATAAGTTATATTATGATAGAATATAGCAATATCTTGTCGACAAGATTTGTGTGGTGGTATAGTTTCATATAATCACCAAAACTACTATATCCACACTATCAATACTTACTATTTCACAATAATCCTTTAAGGCTTTTATGTTACAGATTCATAAAGCATTGATCGTTTAAGTCTTTATTAGAAAAGACAACGTATATTCAAAAGCAATTCTACTTCCAAACTCTTCGTATAAATTCATTCCAGTATAGTATAAAGTTAGTAGGGCACATTACATATGCTTTCACATATTATGGCTCATATGGTATGTAGATAAACACTTCCCAAACCACTTGTACCGTATTATACATCTAGTATGCAAGTCATCATGCATATCATTTTGTCTCTTTACTTCATCATCATTTACTTTATAGGAGTCAATCCTAGAAAGTCTGCCTCTCAGCCACATATCTTTTAAAATCTACTTCATAGGAGTCAATCCTAGGAAGTCTGCATTTTAGCTACATCTTAGCATGTTCCACTAGCTTTAACTTGGTTCTTTTTCATCCTTGGCACTGATATCTTTCTCATGCAACACTATAGATGTATTGCTACTCTTAACAAGTACTCTAATTTGCTAAAATATAAGTAAATTAGTACTTTATTGACTTCACAACCCTACGCCTATTTTCACCATCCTAGTCCTGTATATTAAATTCACATATTATGGAATTCATGTAAGGATGTGATAGAAGTAAATTATCACTCAACATTACTAAATACTAAGTTATAGCATCATGATATGGAACAAATCAGTTCTTAACATACCACTTGAACTACATGCTACCTCTTATAGACATACAAAGACTCGACCTATTGAGCCTGGAGACTCTATCAGCTTTATTCTTTTCGTCTTTCTCAAATTCCTATGAACTCTATGTAGCATATTATATCATTTCAATTTCGATACCGCTAAAGTATTTATCACCATCTTCGGTACTATCAACCCTATAATCAGTTACTAGTTTAATATGGTTGTTTCTACAACTCATGGACTTCAATGGTTCTCGGCTGTGTATATGATCACGCCAAAGGTATACTATCTCACCAAAAGTAAATTCACTTCAAATATAAAATATAACTCCAAAGGTAATAGAACAATTTTCTTTTTAAGAAGTTACCGATGATAACTATCGATGATTTTATAATCCTCAGTATGTCACTTAAGTCTTCTTATCACCCCAAAAAGTTACATGCCAGTTCTAATACAATACTTATACGTTTAGAATCCTAAACACATAAAATTTCATTCTCCAAATCAAGGTCTATTACCTTCAATATTTTTAAGTAATAGTAATCTCGGTATGCAACCTAAGGCATGCTATAATACAAATCAGTCCTGAATACTATTGCAGTTTATCTCTTTAATCACTCGACATCCTATCGAAATTCCAACAACCTTAGTACCGCTACCTGTGATGTATATGATTTGAGTGGGTCCAGCTTTGGAACCTGGTGAGACACATATGGTTTTCAATCCCACAATATTATTATGATAATAACTCATATATAAATATCCTGTAACATCAACATTATCAAAAACATAGATATATAAGCTAACAAGGATATCTATAAGACAATATACCCATACATACCTAGCCCAACTGTTCTCACAAATCCCAATTCAACGGTCATATGGAAGAATAACCTTTTACCTGATGAATCTTTCAGAGCAATGATTTGACTACGTAGCTAGGGGATTCCTTGGTCGATGTAAATCAT